AGATCAGAGTGTTTTCAGAGACTGTGCCAATCAATCCCCGACTTTAAATGTAACCTGTGATGATTTATGTATTTATTTTAAGTTTTTGGCACGTTATGTTCCTCTATAGTGTTTGCTAAACTTCTACAACCTCAAACCAGCTCCTGGATCATGAATGAACTGTTGGTCTTTGTGCTCACACCTGTTAGCAGCATACCGTCCTGTAGTAATGTAGCTGAATTAAGAAACAACAGACCTGAGGGAAATCAAATTTTCTTTCTTCCTCTCTGTTGATTGAACACATTTTTGGACCGATGCCATGCGGCACCCAGCAGCTCTAAGGTATGCAGATAAGACGAGTCTGTTCCTGAGTTCCTGTTTCATGTCTGAGAGTGTGTGGGCCTGAGATGTAGATGAGTTTGGGAGGCAGACAAGCAGCTGAGAGTTGGATGGAGATCTGCTTGCAGAGCGACTCCAAAGCGCGATTCACATGAACTCTAAATGAGATGATACAGAAAGAGAGCAGCAGCAAAGGAAATCAAATAAGCCGAGTCAAAGTTTGAGGGAGAGTGAATGAAGTTTGAGAGACAGAAGAGGAGCTGAGGCAGAGGAAAGGAGTGGAAGAGTGAGGATTTGGCAGGCTCAGAAAGAGGAGGGGCAGTTAGCTGGCAGCGCTCAGAGCGAGACCCCAGTGATTTATCCCACAGTCCTGCATTAGTCAGATGGATGTTGCTGTGTGCAGATTAAGATTAGGATACATTCATCAATGCAGCAGCGGACACAAATGCATTACAGCCTGGAAGTAAACAAGGCAGCGGCCGCCGAGGGAATCAATGTGCATAATTAAAAGGATAATATGGAGCCACCATCCGTCACTCAGCCATACAAGTGTCCACTATGAGCTGCAAATCACTGCGCAGGACGGTCAGGAGTGTGGACTAAAACACAAACAGACAGCTTTGGGCACACAATAAACTATAAATGGAAACAGAAGATGTCTGAGTGAGTCTGTGCTTTCTACAATTGGCACCTTGGCCCTAAAAGGTTCCTGACAAAAAGAGACCCCTGTAAGTAGACATGAAAGATGGTGAATATCTATCTTAGGTACAACATCAGGACCTTTATTCTCTTTGGAAGAGAAAGTGAAGGCTTTTTTGAAGTGGCTTTTCCAGATAATAACTGGATTAACTTTGCAATTACATGATGTTGTGTGAAATGTAAAGCGGAGCAGAAACACACTTTCTGCAGGGGAGGGGAGGGCAGTGATTTTATGGTTGGGTACGGCTGTGTTTGAATCCATTTCTAAAAAAGAAATATTGTTATTGAATTTATTCTTTTTGCAGCACAAAGCTCTGCTCTCTGTCTTTAGTATCTTCACATTTGATCAATATGAACAAAACCATAACGTTTTAATTCATGATACAAAGCAGACAGCTAGCAGAAAGCTAGCAGACCTTCATGAAACAGCTGATAATGGAGGTAAAGCTGCAAACAAGCAAAATGGAGAGGCTTCTACCACAGACACTTGTGTCTTCCAATTCAACATCACCACACTGACAAAGCTGCCTGCAGTGTCTACAGACAAGATCTGGGGCCTCATGTATCAATACTTGCGTGGAACTCATACCAGAAACGAGCGCACGCAAGGTCCGTCACGCTGAAAAAAATCCGTATGTATCAATGTGTGCGGGCGCCGAAATCCACGTGTGTTTCCTTGATAAATCCCAATCAGCGTGGAATTGAGCGCAGATGTCGGAGTGACTGGGCCCGTCCCCGTTACGCCCTCCTATAAATATGCAGATTTATTTAAATAGGGTCTCCCTGTCCTCGCACGCAGACAAAATGACAAGAAAAACTAAATTTACGGCGTGCGAGGTGGAGGTTCTGGTGGCGGAGGTGGAGGAGCGACAGTGTGTTTTGTTTGGCAGCCTGTCCAGTGGCGTCAGTGCAAAACGTAAACGCTTGGAGTGGGAGAAAGTTTGCGAGAGGGTGAATGCGGTGGGTTCCGAGACACGCACCCCCGCGAAGATTAAAAAAAAGTGGTCGGACCACAAGGTGGAGGTCAAGCGGCGTACAGCTGCCCTCCGGAGGAGTACTGGCCAGACAGGTGGGGGTCCGGGGGAGGAGACCCTCACACCGTTTGAGCAGCGAGTGGTGGTGATTATTATTATAGGGTAAGTGGCGTGTCACACAAATGTCCACATGCTTTGTCATCCCACTGAGCAAAAGACGTATATTAGACGTCTAGTCTAAGTTTATACTTCATTTCAACGTCGGGATTCAGTCTATTTTTAGACGTGATTTATTCTTCGCCCTTAACTTCATTTTTCGATAACTTTTTATGCAATATACAACTGTAATGTGCATAACTGACCTCTAAATACTGGATTACATTACCTATGATACCGTGGAGAGAGATGTAAACGCAACAGATACACAGAAGCAGGAATTGAAATGAACCAATATTTTTATTGTGTCACAGAAATCAATGTGTCGGCCGTGTCGCCGGCTTGCGGAACCCCGGCCCGCGGCAGCCCGTCCGCCGGCTCGGAGTCGTCGGCCAGGACCAGCGGCATTCGGGCCACCCCGGCACCAGCACCAGCATCAGCATCAGCACCAGCGCGCCGACAAGCGGTGGAGCGTCCACCAGCCGCGGCGTTTCCGCTGGACCACCCGGACACAGTGGAAGGGTCCTCGCGGAGGGGGTCCTGCAATCGCAGGAAGAAATCATCAGGGGGATCATGGGGATCAACTAGCGGCTGGACCGGCTCGTAAATGTCCTCGAGCGTCTGGAGGAGAAAATAAATAAATTTGGCTCATTGAACTGTGTATTCACTTCTTACCCATTCACACTGTGGCGATGAGATTCTCCCGCGCGAGGACGGCGGCCCGGCAGGGATCAGCTCGCATCCCTCCGTCTGCTGCTGGTTCGTCATGTGGGGCGATGTGCTGCTCGGCCACGGGGATGTGGTGCACGCTTGTCACATAGTGAGTCACCAAACACCGCCACACAGCGTCGCCAAAGTGCGAATCACAGTCAACGCAAGTTTTCGGCTCAACGCCAATTTCTACACCACCTCCTGACTTTGCGTTGATTAGCGCTGGAACCGACGCTCGTTTCGCAATGATAAATCTGGACGTGTGCGCCGATTTTGGCGTACGCAAGGTTTTCTTGCGCCGCAAGCGTTGATACATGAGGCCCCTGTTTATCAAAGTTACACAGACTGAGGAAGCAGAAAAAAGTTCAATAACCAAGATCCTCAGAGTTAAAGAGATATTCAGGCATAAAATTAATTTAGGGTCAAACACACCATAACACAGAGTAAGACCCCCCTGAATGTTGCAGACTGCTTGCTTCTCTAGTTATACCAACTTTAGTAACAACCGTACAATAGCAATACACAGTGGTCTGAGAAGCCATGTGCTCAACCAAAATGCCTCTCTATAGCCACAAATAATGCTCAGAACAGCACCTAACTTTACCAACAGTACATATAGGGTCTTTTTAACTTTGCCTGATTTCTTTAGCAAAGAGACTAAACATAACTCACCTACTCTCTTCCAGTAGCCGCTTATTTGTCTGGAGACCTCAAATGAGTCCATTACCAACTGCAGCGGGGTGACACAGCTCAAGGAAGAAAATTTATGATCATTACTTTATCAATCAATCAATCAAATTTTATTTATATAGCGCCAATTCACAACAGTCGTCATCCCAAGATGCTTTTCAAAGAACAAGAGCAGGTCTACACCATGCTCATTGTTTGATGATCAAGAACCAACCTAAGATGGGTTTTGGCCCATCTCAACTAACATGAGTAGCAGTGGTAAGAAAAATCTTCCTTTAAACAGGCAGAAACCTTGAGCAGGACCAGATTCATGTTAGACAGTCACCATTCCGCTGCTGGTTTGGGGAGGAATGTAGAGAGATGGAGGAAAAGAGGGAGAGAGGGGGAGAGAAGAGGGGAGAGGGCAGGGGGAGAGAGAGAGAGAGAGAACAAGATAAGGGAAAGGAGAGAGAGAAAGAGTAAGGGAGAGAGAGTAGAGAACGAGGGTGAGAGAGAGAGAGAGACAGGGGACAGCAGAAACAACAGCAACAGCAACATCAGCTCATGTAATGGTGAAACAAAATAAATTCAGTTTACAGAGTTAGGATATAAGTAATTATGGACAATGTTAAATTAATTTAATGTGATTACAGTCAGCAGGCCTAATAGTAGTTAACTGTAGTTTTATATTATTAATGTCAGTGAGGCTGATGTTCATGTCTGCAGTAACAGTCCAGAGGAGCCTCAGAGATGGAGAAGCTTATCAATTCCTTGAATTATAATCATCATATTAATCATTTTGCACCGCAGACGCAGGAGTTTCTCTGCCTCAGCGTCTCAGTCTGATTGCATTTCCATGAAGACATGATCAAAGAGTGGCTTTTTGGTTGAGAGTGTGGCTGCTGGGACCGCTGTGTATTGCTATTGTGCGGTTGTTACTGTAGTTGGTATAACTAGAGAAGCAAGCGGTCGGCAACATTCATCTCTCGAGGGGGTGTCTAACTCTGTGTTAGTATGTTTGACCCTAAATTAATTTTACACTGGAATATCCCTTTAAAGAGATGGTATTTGCTTGTACAAGTCTGCATTTGATTTTTTATATTGTTACAGCCCCACTGTTGATGCATGTGCGGGTGAAGATACAGCAAAAAACAAGGCAATGGTCGATTCAGCCTATAGCAGTTTGCACGTGCCCCTTTCAGAAGACCATCAAACCAGGCTCAGTGAAGTCATCTTCGTAAACCGTGACAGGATTTTTAAACTCTATTATATCAGAGTAACTTGGCGTCTCCTGACCTTTCTTTAAACTACTTTATATCAAAGAAAGGCTGAGATGTGATCCTCAACAGACGATATACAACCTCTGAGGCAGGGGTAAAAATGTGCTCACAATAAAAAATACAAATGTAGGGCTGAGGATGAAATGTGAGACTTTGAATCTGAGACAGAGTGAAGGAGAAGTGAGGCTCAAAACAACAGACAGAGAGAGAGAGAGAGAGAGAGAGAGAGAGAGAGGGAGGGAGGGAGAGGGAGCCCTCGACCCACTCGGCTGAACTCTGTGGTCACATAAAGTGAGCGCTACCCACCAGGCGAATTGTAATTTAAAAGGATGGTGCTGACCTTTCCTCTCTCTCTCTCTCTCTTTCTCCCTCTCTCTCCCTCCCTCTCTCTCCATGGTGAGGAGCAGTTTGATGCGTCCATTTTAAAACCACTTTCTCTCTCCTTCCTCCCCTCTCGTCTCACGCTCTCCTCTCCCATATGGCCCCGTGTAACCTCATCCATCCTGCTGCTGGATGCTCCTGCAGCTCATGAATATCCAACATGTGAGCAGATTACAGATAATGAATGTGTGTGGCTACTTTAGGAGATGAAAACATGAGGGGGAAAATAAAGTGTCATGTAGTCATTAAAGAAAAACATGTTTCAGGGTGTCGCTCCGGCAAACAGCTCATGAAGCTTTCAGTCAGCAAAACCAGCAAATAAAAAACAGAATTTAGAAGTGTTTCCCTTCCTCCTTTTCATCAACTCTTGATGCAGCTAGCACACACACACACACACACACACACACACACACACACACACACACACACACACACACACACACACACACACACACAGGATCCACTGTTGTTGGAGCACCTGAGGCTGCGCCCACAGGCTCTGGATTCAACCTCTTGTAGACCGACAGAGGTCAGGTCTCCATTAGTCTGAGTCCTCCCCACACAGCTACCTCCATTTCCTGTTTCTGCTGCCAGTTAATGGCCTTTCTCTTCATTGAAAATTATGTTTGTCTTTAATTTTACTGGTAGTGTTGTCCAAACATGTAGGTGCTACATCTAAGTGTGCATATGATGGAGACCTTAGAGAGTATTTGACAACAATTGAAGTTTCTACACAGTTAAATTTGAGATTGTCTTAATCAGTATAATAACATAATACATGCTCTTTGTTTACAATTCTACATTCATCCATTCATGCCACTTTCACACACTGATGGGAGAGGCTGCTATGTAGAGCTCACATCAACACTTAGTAATCCTGTTCACACACCACTAGGTGCAGCCAGAAGAGCAGTTGGGGACCTGGGTTTACCCAAAATTTAAGCATGTGGACAGTGGGATCTGAGTGTTGATGTGTAGAGCACCTTCATTAGGTTGATGAAGTCTTCAGCTCTCCTAAAGTCCTCCTCAGTTAGCCGAGCAAGTCTGTATGAAAAAGAATTAAGAACACATAGAATGGAGTTAGAAATATTCTCTTTTTTTCTGAACAAAACACCTAACATATGCACTCCCTACATTAGCACATTCACTCTAATACTGTTCTTTGAATTTGTATTTTGTGTGTACAGGTATTTTTGTCTTAGCTTGTCTATCTATCTCTACCTGATCCTTTCCATATTTTGTCTCAGCCGTTGATCCAAGCTGGCTGCTTGAATTGCAGGGTACTGCTCTGTGAATCTCTCCAGCATTTGGTACAGAGAGTTCCACTGTGTTCTGACATCAAGTATGAGTGAGTGTCGGGGCAGCTCTGATAAAAACAAGAACATCAATTTGAAGTTATTTAGCAGACGCTTTTCATCCTAGGAGACAACAGTTAAATAAAGTAAACTTTGTGTGTCTTACGTAGAAGTTCTTGCTTCTCTTGGAAAATCACCTTGGACATCAAGCACCTCTTCATCCACACAACAATGGCTCGGACCTTGGCCACCCACTGACTCACTGAATTTAGGGAGTATCCACTTTGTGCAGCTAGATTAAGTGTGTGAGCAAAACAGCACAATTTCACAAATTGCAGGCGCTTGATAGCCACATCCATGTTGGCAGCATTATCTACAGTGACTGCTAATGTTTTATCAGATATGCCAAACTCTGAGAGAACATCACTGATTTCCTCTGAAATAACACAGCCGGTCTGGGCCTTGTACACAGCCTTTGTTTTTAGCACTTTTTGCTGCATTTTGCCCTCAACTATGTAGTGTTCTGTAATGGTGAGGTAGTGATCCTGTGTGATGCTACTCCAGCCATCACATGTGAGTGCAACAGAGCTGATTTCACTTAGCTCTGCAGTAATGTCAGACTCTCAACCTTGTACCACGATGGGATGAATGTGTTTGACAGGTAGTCCCTGGAAGGTGGTGTATATTTGGGGTTTAGAGTTTTCACCATATCCCTGCAAACATCAACAAACATGTAATGTTGATGTTACTGTTTAGCTCAGTATCAATTAGCTTAGCTCTATCGTTATTGCTTAACTAACCTAAATGTGGGTGATTCCACCTGTGAAAAGGGGTGCAGCCTTTAGACAATGTGTGCAGTGACCTTTCTGTGGCACTCTTCCTTCTGTTGCACCGACATCTTCCCCATTGCCGCTATGGTGAACGGAGTACGCTCAGTCGTCGAGTCACTAGCTTCGCTAGCAATCGCGGGTTGTATATTGTCTATGAAAATATATGTGTGCTACTTTGTTAGCTGCCTCACTGTTGGCGCAAGACACATTATATATTGTATATGCATTGTGTTACTTACCGGTTTCGGACTGCAGTGTAGTCACTGCTGTGCCAGGCTGGGCGTCGCAGCCTGAGCCAGAGCTCGAGGAAGAGGCAGCGGAGGACGGCCGGCGAAGCGCATCAAAGACGGGACAAACATTTATTTCCACTCTATGACCTCGTCGGAAGTGCTTAATCATGTTCGTAGTGCACCCTTCTATGCACGAAACAGTTTTGTCACAAGCGTTGCATTTTGCTGAGTTTTCGTTGAGTTTAGAAAAGTAAAGCCACACTTTGGACCTCTGACGAACGCTATCCATGCTTGACTGACTCACTCGGCTATGCTAACGCTTCTGATGGACGCTTCTTCGTTGGTGTTCAGCGGCTTCTACTTCCGGCCGCTGGACTTCTTCTTTTTTTCCGGTCGGCGAACTGGGTATCGAAAAAAGGAATCAAAAATGAAAGTTTTGAACAATTCCGGGAGAACTGGAAATCTAGAATTGGTTAAATCGTCAGTAAATCCATTCTCACCTGCTTCTGGGATCAGGACAGTAGTCCAGTAAAATCTACTAACTGACCTACAACAGTAGCTTTATTTAACTTTGTATATGAAGCTACTGACTGGCTGTTTTACATATCAAACATGCTGCTCTGCTCTTGTTTACATTTACTGTAAATCTTTGAAAGCATGACTTATCCTGGTGGGGCCTATGGCTGAATGAGACAGCATGTTAACTTCCATGCTAGCTGCTTCAAACTGAACGAGTCCTTCGACAAAACAACAAGAAAAGTCTTTATCAGAAAACAAATCTGGGTTCTTCTCCTGAGTGCAGTCAGTGCTCGAGTTTGAGTCTAATCAATTACCATAAAATGACCAATCAATGTGATGTGTTCCTCTTGTTTATCAGCAGTAAAACATTGACTGCCACATTAATGTTTCGTCAACTCTTCTGTGTTTGTTGGCTTGAGTTTAAAATCTTTTTTTCTTTTTTTTATCATCAGTCAGTGAATATTCTGTTCACTTATCAAGTGATCAGCGATGTTTTAAGGTAGTGAACAAAGAGAGGTCGGGGTTCACATGTTCTGTATGGACTCTGTGTCCTTCATTTATAGAAACATTATGTAGTGTTTACTACAGTTTAGTTTGGGAGCTGTTTGTTTTGCCAGTTTTTCTTTTCATTTTTTAACTAAAGATCTGTTTTAATGCTGAGAGTAATTATTTTAGGGTCAAGATACAGATCAAGTTTTTGTTTCTTGATGTAAAAAAACAGCTTAAACTTTCATTTTCTTTCTGTTTCTGAGGTTAGGCTGAAAAATGTTCCTGTTAGCGACAGTCTTTCTGAAATGCAGACGCATTTCTATACGCTGCCGGGGTCTAGACTGTTCACTGTTGATATTTTCTCCGGCTTTGTTGACCTTGTTTGTGTTGCTCCACGTCTGTTTCTGTGTATGAACATTGACGAGGATGAAAACAACAGACACAGTGCCTGTTCTTCGCCAATAAAGCTCATACAGATTCAGCAGAATAGTAATAAAAGCATATGGATTAACTGCAGCCAGTGAGAAAGCTCCATAACAGAGAGAGGATGGATTAACTGGAGGATATCTGAATCCTAATAAAAGCCATAAAACAGCGCTATTGGCTTCATATATCAGCGGGCTAATGTTGAGCCCAGCCGTGTGTTTGCACGGAGAAATGCCCTCCTCATAACTCGATCATTGTGCAGAATTCATTTCTCTGTGGCGGTTAACGATTGTCGATGAGGATTACACTGGGTGAAATGAAGAGCATTATGGGGTATTTTGGCTGTGGAGGCAGGGATTGGCCGTTGAATGGTGGGGCCATGTTGACACAGTTAGAGGAACATAGATTTCCTACAGCAGCCATTCATTTGTTGTTATCCTGCAGAGAGCTGTAATGAATGAGGGGAGAGCGGGGAAAATGGCTCACCCATGTAATTTGTTTCTCGGAGCGGTTGAGGGTCAGCACAAATTCAGATCTGCCACTCCTCCTCTTTGCTTTATCCTGGATTCTACTTTTTGTGCTATTTTCCCTCCATTCTGTCTCAATTTACCAACGTTTCTATCTCTTTTTATACCCACACCAGCAGGAGAGTTAATGTCTGTCATTTTGGACAGAGATGTGGAAAACTGTGCTGTGAAGTGAACAAATTTGATTTAGTCAGTCTCGTTCTTGATCTAAGGTTGTTTTCCCACGACAGATTGGTGACCCCTGACCTTCCATTGGGCTCAATAAACAGCTCTGATTTCCAGTGTCTGACACTTGTTTCTTTCAACAGGCATATGGAGCTTTATTATTTAAACGTACTGTCTCCCAGGATGAGAGCATTATTTTGGGGGGTGTACCCTACAAATAAAGTAAAGAGAGTAGAAAACATGCTGCAAACATGAAGGGTTTCACTAGCTTCAGGGCAGCTGTCTGAAAAGCTTGTTTTTTTTTTCTATGCATGCATATCAGAGGATCTGCAGCACATCTCACCCTTTTTACTCCAGAAATGCCCCCAATTTTACACTGAGCTGCAGGGTCCTCACCAAAACAGACAGTTTACTGACCTTGCTTCAACAATATTCATGTCTTGTTCTGTAGAGCATGTCACACACATACAACCTTATGTGTCAAAATGCTGCTGGCATACTTTGAAATGTATAAGCCAATCCTCTTTCTCTGTA